CAATAAAAGAGTAGAGGTGACTAATAACGCTCCATCCAAATTTGAAATTTCTGAGTTTTCAGTGTGTTCTTCGGATGTAACTGGATCAACTGGATTTTCTGGTTCTGATGGAGTTACTGGTGGATTGACTGGTTTATCAGTTGGTTTTTCTGGTTTTGATGGTTCTGTAGGCTTTTCTGGCTCTGGTGGAGTCACTGGTTTATCACTTGGTTTTTCTGGTTGAGATGGATTTTCGGGCTTTGATGGTTCAACCGGAGTCACTGGTGGTTTTACTTGATCCGCTGGTTTAGATGGCTCGACCGGTTTTGGTGGATCAACAGGATTGACTGTGGCTCTCTTTTTGTAACACTTACCGGGCTGTGTCACAATTTCACATTTGTCAACATCAAAAGTGTCCAATTCGATTTTAACCCAGTGGTTTTTGACAAGTGTGCACTTCTTGTTTTCAATGGAAAACAACACCTTTGCTGATGAGTCTGTTGGGAGTTTGTCGAGCCACTCGCCTCTGACATGATTCTTGTCGGTTTGGTTGATTCTGAACCCAAAGTTGTAAATACCATTGACACCACCCAAAATGTAACTGAAACCGAGTTTAGTCTGTGTAGAGAGGATGTACGATGGAATGTAGTTACCAACTGGGCAGTTGGCATTTGTGGTATCAACAACATATTTCCCCATAATTGGATTCTCTAGTGGAATCAACCAATATGCAGAATATCCACTTCCTGCAATTCCAAAACCGTTGCAAATGCCACATTGCTTGTAATATTCTGTTGATTCCATGTACGATTTTCTGTACCCTTGACAATTGGCATTGTCAAAGATGCTCAGCTGAGTGTTTTCAATTTTGACAGAAACGCCAGTTGTGATTGTGTAACACTTGTTGCCAATGTTGTTGGGAACATCAATTTCGTAATTCAATGACGAACCAAAATAAGTGTCAATACCAACATAAACGTGCCAAAATGCAACAGGGTACTGCAAGTCGACTGGATAAGCCGCAAGTGATGCAGTAATGAGTAAGAAGACTGAGAACATTGAATGAAAAAGGTATTTTATATTTGTTTTTATACTCAATATTTTTTATAATAAAAATAATGGAAACTAATATTAACTATATTTAGAACAAATATCTTAAATAAATCTCAAGAACACTAATGTCAGATTTTTAAGAGTTATCCACACGATCTGGATTATTGGTAATCAAATTAAATGGTCAAATTATCCTTTGGTTTTATTTGAATAGAAACAAAAATATTAAGTTGGTATGTATCTATTTTTAAAAGTTGCTAAAAATAGTCAAAAATAAACAAATGAACCATGTATAATTTTAAAATTATTTCAAATATTAATAGAACATATATGATTAATTTAAATTAAGTTGAAAATGTGTATTTAACAAAAATAAAACAGTTACCTTTATGGTTATTAATAAACCGTAACAATTGAAACAACAAATAGAATATTTTTGTTCTAGA